TTTTCTAACTAGATGGTTGAAAACACTTCAAGCTGTCACAAGAAAATAGCTTCTGGATTGATGCATCTGGCAGCCGAAGTGTGTAGTAATTGACATTGACGGATGTCATGAAGCATTCTGTATTTTTATGCTGATACCTCCGAACAGGAAAGGCAACTGGTTAGATATACTGAAAACTGTTCATACATAAATAAATAGATGTTAAGATGATCTCAGCTCAAAACATATTCGTCGTAATTTATTAGCTAAATCTTGATCTATAGGTTTTGTTTTGCAGGACTCACTGTGCCGCTTTCCCATATTGTCGCGCCCAAGGTCAGAATGGTTTTTCGAGGCCAACAGTTACGGGATGTCAAAATGTTGAGGACCATAATCGTCCTCCTGCCTAGGTCACAGCGCCCTGGCAGTATCTCAGACCACGTACAACCATGATTATTTCTTAAAATTTCAACCACATCCTGCATCGACCGTCGCTCAGGTTGTCAAAAGTCACCTTATCTGCTGCATACAGCAGTGCTTCTCCCTATTACTAGCCTTCCTTCTATAATTCCCAGCTTACTTGACAGCAACCGCAATGCCACTGGAGTCATATCATCTGCAGCTACCTTCCCGCATCACCCAATGAACGCCTATCGGCAGCACTCCCCTATAAGGTCACACTGTCCCGTTTGCCTGGCGGAGTTCAACGTTCGCACTCTAAGACAAATAGGTCAACGGGTTGCACTCGCGCCCACCTTGGGTTTTGACATATGTTGTGTTTCCTAAACTATGATCAATGACTTTCACGGGATTGTTGAAATAACTGCACCCAGTTTGTCGTCTCGCCATTGGTTGCACGCATCTGGAAGCGCTGATGCGCAATCACTAGCCAAGCTGGTGTGTGTATGATTCTCAGTTCCAAGGCCGTTTGATAACATCAACTAACGTCAATTCACGAGATAGTAGTGGGCCCTGTTAGTTTGTGGTTTCCGCTTATGTCCCCGCTGACTTCATTTCTGATGCTGCAAAGGTCACCTGGCACGAACTGAACACGCTCCTTCGCAGTTCCAATATCGTTGTAACTGCAGGCGATATGAATGCACAAGTAGGCCCTCGGAGTTCTTCAAAGGCTTAGCTAGATGGTCAGTATGGACCTAACTCCTACTGGACGGACAACGACGATCATCTATTGCAATTGTGTCCGAAGCACCAACTGTTTCTTAGTACTACCGCTCTTAGACACAGTGTTCGCCGAAGTGCCACTTGGCGTCCATCCATAGCTTACCATCGATGGACTCAACTAGCTCACGTTACGATAACTTACAGGCAGTGGGATTCCATCCTGGATTGTCGCTCGTTCTGGAATACCTATGTTGACTCTGATCATATCCTGGTACGCTGTCGTTTTTCATGAGGGCGCTCTAAACGTCTCATTCGATTGGCAACTGACAAATTATATCATCCTTCGATCAGGCAAGCCTACCAGGATACACTGATGTCCTGATGACGCTGACCTTCAGTGGAATAGGATCTCGGCCGCCATGCACGAAACAGGAGCCTCTCCTTGTGGTGCCACCGATCGTCACCGCACCAGTCGCTGGATATCCGAGAGGTCAGGGGACTTATTGGAATCCGGAATGAAACTTCAAGCTGGCTTTGAGCACAAAGCCACCAGACGGACTGTTAACTGCTAACTAATACGTCTGCGTGCTGACAAGGAAGGGTGGTGGACCAGCCGGGCTCAAAAAATGAAGGAGTCAGAATCAATAGGCATCTATCGCTAGCTCTCCCGACTCATCCGCACCTTTGGTTCCAAGAAAACAGGCGTCAGTAAGACAATCAGAGACAGCGCGGGTGTCGTGATTCACAATAAGGAGCGCCGCATGGCTCGTTGGGCTGAGCACTTTCGAAGAGCAGTTCAGTTGGTCCCCTGCTAACCGGAGCCCTTTCCACTCAGGTCATGCAGGCTGAGAGACGTCATCGGAAGCTGAAGTCCGGAACGCGATCACAGCCCTCAATCGTTTTCGAGCTGCTGACCCAGGTTCCCTCCCATTCGCACTATTCATTGTTGGTCGTGAGTTCCTCTACAAAGCACTGACCCCCTGTTCGAGCTGGTCTGCAAAGAAGAGACCATCCCAGCTAACGATTGAATCGGTTCTTACGGTAATATAATATAAGGGCTTTCGCATCGGTTGCTAACCACAGAGGTATTAGCCTAACACTGGTAGTGACAAAGTTACTTGCCTCAGTTCTCGTTCATCGCCTCACCGCGGTGCGGTGATTCCGGTTTAGGAAGTGCAGGCAAGTTTCCGCTCAGAACGTGACAGTATTGGCCATATATTCATTCTGTGGCAGGTGCTAGAGCAGCGCCACACGTACCGCAGACCGACGGTAGCTGTGTTCCTCGACTTCAGTCGGAAAGGTGTTCCCATGAAATATGTGCACATTCGCGTGGCGTTTGCTGGAACACTGCAAGCCGCGGTAACTTGTCGGATATCTTTTCGATATAAGTGGCGTTCGTCATGGTTGTCCAAATTCCCCATTCTCGTTCAATTTCGTCGTGGACTCAAGCATGAAGAGTTCCCTTGTGGAGCCTCACGATGCAAGCGTTGAGGTGCCGCTTGGTGAAAGCTAGTTGCTCTTGGTTGGAGGTTCATTTTGAAGTACTCATGTGTATGGATTGCGCTTCGCTATCTCAATCTAGGCCGCAATTCACAATTAAGTGAACCTTCATCAATGCGATCACTGCAAATCGCGGTCTACATTGCGTTTGCGCTTCGCAATCCATTCACACAGCCAGTACTTCAACCTGATCCTCCAATCAGTCCTTAACCGTTGTGTCAAGCGTGACCTGTCTTGGTTCGGTAGCCAAAGCAGTAGAAGTTTCGTTGGTCCCGCGTTTGAGGCCTGCTGTATCCACCTGATGAGATCAAACGAGGTCGAGACGCGTCGTTGTGTACAGTTTATGTATGCGGGCAACACCTGATTTCGAACTAATCGGCTGCTTATGCGGACGGCATTATCTTGGTGTTCACCGATATTGGGGCCGCCCAGTCAATCCTGAACAACGTAGTCCCATCATTTGGAATGCGTCTCACACTTAAATGCAAAGTGCTGTTGCAGGACCACCGGTCACTTGATGACCCCTTGATAGCAACGAACTCAAATAGTAGCTGATCGTTTCACTTACCTAGGCAGCTGAATCAACAACTACCACATATTCACTCAGCGGCAGGTGATACAGCAGCGCCACGCATACCGCAGATAGACAATAGCTGTGTTCCTTGATTTCAAGAGTGCTTCCATTCAGTCGATCGATCGATTCTGTACGAAATACTTACGCGGAAAGCTGTTCCCACGAAATATGTGAACCTCTTACGTGATCTATACACAAACCCTACAGACTGCGTCAGGGTGTAGGGTGATCTGTCGAATAGCTTTCCGACCACAATTGGCTTTCGTCAGGGTTGTTCGAATTCCCCATTTTTGTTCAATTTCGTCTTAGATTCTATCATGGAGTATTCCCTTGCGGGATCTCACGATGTAGGCGTTGAGGTCCTGCTTGTGAAAGGCTGGTTGATCTTGATTATGCGCACGATATCGTCTTACTTTTCGGCGATGTTGCGGCGGCATAATTAACCTTGAATAGCCCATCTGGAGTGATCCCATTTTTTGGTCTACACTTCGCACCTTCAACGTACGAAGTGTTGCTGCATTACCACCAGCCACTTTATGACCCCTTGCTAACGAGGAACTCGAGGTGGTTGATCGATTCACTTATCTTGGCAGCTGCATCAGCAATGATGGGTGCATAAATACTGCAGTCAGTTCATGCATTGCAAAGGCCAGAACTGCGTTCTTGAACCTGCGGCATCTTTGGCGACAGGAGTTTCTCTCCGTCTGTAGGGTCGTGTTTACAAAGCCACAGTGAGGACCGTCCTGTTCCATGGAAGTGAGACTTGGTCCCTTCCGTCAGAAAATCTGTGGCACCTTCAAGTCTTCTTTCGTCGTTTTCTACGGAGCATTTCCGGTGTCTGGTGGCACCAATGTGTCCGCAGTGATGTTGTGCTTATGCGAGTACTAGGCAGTGATAACCAAGCTTGTTCTTTAGAACAACAGATAGCACTGAATAAATTGCGTTGGGTTGGGGACCTACTACGTATGCCTGGTCACCGCTTACCTAGGAGGGTCTAGTTTAGTCTGCCAGATGTAGGAGGGTACAACGTTCGCGGTGGACAAAGGTTGACTTGGCAGCGTGAAATGAAGTCGCTGACGACCAAATTGGGTGCCATCGGTCCGTCTCGCCTTCCGGGCTGGAGTCCACGTGACCCGGCTTGTGTTTACTTCGAGACTTTACAGGACATAGCTGGCAGTTGACACCAGTGGCGTGTCTGTTGCCGTCCCCTAGTCGGACTGCCTGTTTAAAATGTGTTTGATGCTGTATTATTTGCGGGATAAAATCTGATTATGACGCGGAGCAGTGAAAGCCGCAAGGAAGGTGTTTCGCCGTTGCTGCGTTATCGTTGCACGATAGCCGGTTGTTTGTGATGGTAAGTTGTTGACAAGGTGTAGGCGCTTTGACCCTGCTTGTTTGTTTATTTCATTAAGGTGTTTACGTAAGTCCCTCTTCCTTCCCTTATTTTTCTTCGTTCTATTGGTTGTATGGGAGCGAAGCATTAGTTCAAATGGCTGATGTACTGTTGTTGTTCGTGATGTTGATAGTGTGTGTGCTCAAAATTGTCGGTTGGGCCTGCATGTACCGTTTGGACGCCCAGAGTTGACACATTTCCCGTTAGGGACATTTCACGTACAGGCAAACCCGCTTTGTTGCCCACCCGGTTTATAGCTCACCTCCCTTTACTGCGTAGTTTTTCGAAATACAAATTCTTTTTCATAAATAGGCTAAATTTTCACCATCTAACTGCCCATTAACGGAGTCGTCACACCGCTTAAGTGCCCAGCTGTGTGGGCTGTGCTCTTGTCGCTTTGTCAATTTTATGCCTTCTCTTTGACTCTTTTAGTAAGATTGCCCCACAGTTAGCCAGTCCGATCGAGTCAAGAACAACAAAGATGTCGGCGGCATTATTGACAGATCAGAAAAGGTTACCTATCTCATTCAGTACGCGAGCAAGCTAAATGTACAAATGGCTATGGGCAATCCCTCTTCCCTATTCAAAACTCGAGAACTGGGCGAAGTCGGGTAAACTGTCTGCTCCATATTTGTCTCTACTCTGTTGGTTACACGCAAGTATGCCAAGTAACAGAAAGGATTTGTCCTTGACAAGAAAGTTGGGCATTTTGGAGAAATGAAGACATTTCCACCAGGAATGTTGCAGGTCAAGATATCACGTGATTTACACATTTCTCGTCCTACCCTAGCCAGGTTGATTGCCAGTGAAAAAAGTCTGGTAGAATTTGTCGCATGGCACTGGAAGCTCTCAGAAAAGGATGAAGAAGAAACTGAGGTGAAAGGCTGGATGATCTCGGTTCATGAGCACAGCCAAACAATTACAGGCCCGCTTCTGAAGAAAAAGGCCGAAGAATTCGTGGAAGGATTTGAAAAAGTCTGTGCTGTCACAGAAGGACGGTTGCGAAGATGGAAGAATAGAACTCAACTTGTGTATAAACGTTCCGTTGGCTGAAAGATCGACTGCCTGAATTTTTAAATACTTTTTTATGATGACAACGTGTACAATGCAGACGAAACAGGTCTTTTCTACCGAGCAACTCCAGAATGCTCTTTGTGTTTTGTTATCTACAAGCCCAGCAGATCGAAAAAGTCATGGATTGGATCACTTTTCTGTGCTGCGCAAATATGTCTGGCACGGATAAAGGAAATATAGTATTGATTTAAAAACTAAGAAACCACGATGTTTTAATGGCGTGAATCTACTCACGCTTCGCGTAACTTACAGAGCTAATCAAAATGCGTGGATGTCGAAAGAACTTTTCACCGAGTGCGTCCTCGAATGGGACAAGGAGCTAGGCCAATGTGGCCGAAAAGTTATGTTGCTCTTGGATAGTTGCACAGCGCATCCACAGGTAGTAGGACTGAGAGACATTCAAATGGAATTTTTGCAGGCAAACACGTTCGGCATTCTTCAACCCATGGATCAAAGTTTGATTATGAGTCTGAGAACCCGTTACAGAAAGGAAATGGTGGACAGAATTCCTTAGCACATCGAAAACAACGTCTTTTCTGGCTCATCATCGGCGCTAGATGTTAACGCCAAGATTTCTCTGCGCAATGCAATTATGTTCGTTTCGAAAAGTTGGAGACGGGTTACCGGTGCAACAATAAAAGCGTGCTTTCGGCATGCTGGCTTCAGTCGACTAGAATCCGATGCACTTCCTAATGACGCCGTCATTGCTGAAGACGAGATCAACGCTTGCACAATCCCAGTCATGAATGAGGAGGAGGAGTTCGTCGCCATTGACATTGAATGTACCTCAGATCGGACAACTGCTGACGATGAAATAGTCAGCAACATTTTAGAGAACCGACTAGAAAAGAAAGAAGACAGCGACGCAGAGGATGACGCGCCGGATGCCTCCGTGAGTACCAGCAGTCAGCGTTTGTCGCATTCAAGAGCAAATAACTGTGTGAATGGTCTGTGTAGCTACGGACTTTTTCATGGGCAAGGCAACGATTTCTTATCCCAATTAGACTTTATCAGAACAAAAGTGACTGGGGTATCTGCACGAAATAATGTACAACTGACGTTGGATTGTCTCTCAGCAAAAAATACCACAGCGCCAGTTTCTACAGCTACCCAAGTAAGATGCTTTATGTTATAACTTTTAAATTACAAGTTATTCACTTCTGAATAAACGTCTTTTGTAGGCTTCAATTAGAAGTACATATTCTATATTTCTCAGCACGTTACAATTCAAGTGATATACTGTACCATAATTAAATGGTTGTTTACTTTTTGGGAAAAATGGTTATATCGGTTAATTGTCCACTCCGCTTTATCGCCCACTTTGGAAATATCCCCATGGTGGGCAATAAAGCGAGTTTGACTGTATATCGAATTTGTTTTTTTATTTTTTCCTTTGCTTTTCTGTCTGAGTTGCATGGCTTCCTTATGCTTCTTTTTTATTGTTAGTTATCAGTATTCATATGACGATTCGAATAATGGTGACTAAATCTGTCTTCTTCGTGTTCAGAAGCTTAACATCAAATGAATTCTGTTAAAGGGTTGCCAGTCCTCTTGATCCTTCTACTAGTAGTCAACATTTATGTTCTCATTGCCTTTATTTTTGAACAAATGTTTTCATTCCCCGGGAATAAGCTCTATATTACTCTAAGTTGCCGTTATTTCGTGTTCTAGTGTAATGTGACACCGTATTACAACACTTTACTGACGGCTCCGCCCATACGGCGGTATTTATTCGTTTTCTTCCTATTCCACCTCATGCTGAACTTTGATTCATCCCACACCTTCCTATGTTAACCATCTCATTGTAGATTGATCGGCACGGAATAAATTAAATTTCGTACCCTGTCGTTCACGCTCTACTCTGTTCAAATATCGCGGAAATGGATTTAGTTGCCTCGTTGGTTTGACACCGCAATCATGTTTCCCCCCTCTCCCGATCTGTTCATTATAGCGTGGTCCTCGCGCGAAGCGGGATAGCTAGAATCACGAACTCTTCCAGTAAACCCAGCTGAGGAATCTCTTCTGCCATTGCTCATCTACTTGGCACACCATCCTGCTTTCATTCGACATGTGCCAGCGCTCGTCACACGCAACAACAGCTTCTCCTCATTTCAACTCCTCTTATGTTAGATC